AAGTTCAGGTCCCCCATGACTACCACATCCTTAGCCTTCTTCTCACTCTACCCCTTTCTAGAGTCACCACCCCAACCCCTCACTGGGGCTGCAAGGCCTCACACCCCTTAGGCCTCAGGTGTGTATTGACATGCCTAGACCTCACTCTCGGCACGCTTGCCCTTCAGCCACTCTGGCCCGGGCCCCGGGCCCAGCCCCAGCCCCAGCTTGGGCCAGTCAAGAGCCCTGGGCCAATCCTACAAGCAGCTGACTCCTTTCTACTCAACAGGGGTCCCCCCGAGCTTCACCTTAATGACATCCCTTACTGGGCTTGCTTAGAGCCCCAGAGATATTACACAAGGTGCCCTTCACTCAACTGGGTTCACCTGAGCCCCTGGACTTACCCATGCCAGTTCTAATCAGAGGTTTGCCTAGCCCCTGTGTAGGCCCACAACTCTAAATCCCTTTTGCAAGGCTGGTCTCACTCTTTCCTAGGCCCAAAGCCTTCTCCCTGGGGCTTGGGACCCCATAGGTCCCTAGGAACCTCCTGCATCCCCATAGGTCCTACCCTAGATGGAACCTCCAGATGTTGCTGAGAGCAGAGGAGCTCCAACTGGGTGATCTTAACTCAGCAGCATCCCTGCAGCTACTGTCAGCTCTACTGCTCAGGGCCTGTTCTTATCCTGCAGTTGTGTAGCTCTCCTTCAATCAGGCAGCATCCTGATGGCCATGTGATCCTCCTGATTGGCACTGCACTCACGTGCAGGCTTCTTTTCTGCCTGCTCAAGCCCTTAAAGTGGCAAGCACCCACAGGTGCCCTGCCACAGAGGTATTCTAGTCCAATACCCAGATTAAGGAAGCATCACCACTATCCAAACCAGCCCATGCACATCTTTGTCTAATCATTTACTAAAACTACAAATTCAACCCTGTTGCACAGCTACAAGGCATTGCATCCTAACCAGCCACAGATAAAGTGAGGAGACAATAGTGGTCGGTGTCCTGCTGCTGTAAGGGCTGTTGTTAAAATGCACTTGAGAGATCTAAGGGTCTAACTGAGAGAGCCAAGGCCATGACTGAGCAGAGGGACAAGACACTTTAGCAAGGAACCTCCAGGTTTTAGGGCCAGAAGGAGCACTGGTGCACCCCAATTAAGATCCCCAGGTCCAGAGCTTCTAACTGTTGGTCTTTACAGAGCACTCCAAGCACAGCTACTGCTAGATCATCTCTAACTAATGCTTATCCAACCTGTTCTTGAGAATCTCCAGGTATGGAGATTCTATAACTGTCCTAGGCAGTCTATTCCACTGCCTCACTGTTCTAACAATGATACTTTTTTCCAGGTATCCAATCTAAATTTTCTTTGCTGCAACTTCAAGTCATTGGTCCACATCATATTCTCTGCATCAAGAGAAAAGGTCTTTTCCCTCTTTTTCTATGGCAGCCTTTTATGATACCAGGTTATTCCCTTAAATGTAACATTCCTTGGGAAGGACCATGGAACCCCTCCAAATTGTTAAATCCTTGTAATATAATTAATGGGCTATATCCACATGGCACTAAATTAACGGAAGCAGGGATAAATGAAACCAAGTACTATCCAACACCACGGGGGTTCATGAGAACACACCCAGAAAAGAGTGTATTTGGGATAAAATTGACTATTATCCCAGTAAGGTTATTTGAAAATGCTACAACAGACCCCTATGGTATCATCCAATTTAAGTGCAATAAACTTTTCTGGAAGCCTAACACTGGTCAGAACAGTGTCCAGCATACCACTAGCATGTGGTGCCAGTCTATAATACATACTAGAAAAGGGATATTGTCTTATCTCTTAATTATAAGGGATCTGCTGCACCAAGAACAAAGTACAGTAGCCTGGAATTTAAAATCTCCTGAATATTCCCATGCTGCCATGTGCATTACACATAACATTAACTACATGCAACCACAAAGAAAGCACAGGTCAGTCTGGACAGATTGGGCACAACAAAATGAAAACAGAGAATAGGAGGAAACAGTAAAACCCGAATTCATGTCACTTTTAAATTTGCCACTACACACGTAACCATTACAAGAAATATCACACAAAAAATGCAAAGTTTCGTAACATCAGCTGAGCAAAATGAAAACATCATTAATTCTAACATGGGGAAGATCTAAGATAGACTACAGTTCATTACGTGTATGCAATTTCATGAATCCAGTACCTTTAAACAACTTATTGTAGAGAACTTAAGAAAAAATTTACAGATGCTGGACATGTGACTCATGTAGAATGTTATAGTCAAGTAACCATGATATTTGGTTATGAGAATCAGGGAAGTGTACAATGGCTCTGTTCAGTGAACCCACTAACGGGCTGAACAGTACACACCCTCATTCGAGGGAAACATACAGGTACATTACCCACCGTGTGGTGTACCAAACATAAATTGCATGCAATTAAACAACAATCAAGTAAAACTAAATGTTAAATGTTCCAAATTGGAAGCACGGAACAAAAGTCATCTTGTGCAGTGTGCTAATTGCAAATGCAAAATTTACACCAAAACTGTTCAGGTAAATATACCAAACTATGATCATGCTTTTGGCCTAACTCCCCAAGATGAAGCAACCCAATATTATGAAATAACGGAAATGGGATATGATCTCCCTCAACATCAGCCCTGTAAGCACGAGGCTCAGTTCTGGAGAGGTACAGGGGAAATAATGAACATAAAATATAATATCCCTCAACTCCAGCCCTCTGAGCCCAGGGCTCAGTTTTGGAAAGATACATTAGCTAGGAAATGTGTATGTATAATAGAGCCAAAAATTAATGATCTGCACTCAAGTATGGGAGTAGTACTTTGGTCTGAAACAGGTATTCCATGGAT